CTTCTTTTCTCCCTTCCTCCCTTCCTCCCTAGCTTCCTTTCTCCTTCCTTGCTTTCTTTCTTCCTTGCTTCCTTGCTTGCCTCCTTGCCTCCTTGTTTCCTTGCTTCCTTGCTTCCTTGCTTCCTTGCTTCCTTGCTTCCTTCAATTCTGTTCTATTCTATTCTTTCTTTCCTTCTTCCTTTCCTTCTCTCCCTCTCATTCTGATCTTTCCGCCTTCATTTGCGCTAGTGTCACTTCAAGAGCACACGGGTCAATAATCATTGCAATATCATTCTTAAAAAAGAACAAAATTTAATTTCAATTTTTTTATTTTAAATTATGATTCTAGGCTTAATAAACTCATTCTCGTTCCCAGTAAAGCACAGAAGAAATAGATGCGGGATCTGGAAACGAGAATGCTAAAAAGATTCATTAAGAATAGGATACTGAGCGAATGCGCAATCTTTGTTCTTCAAAATATTATAAAACTTAAGATAAATTAAAGATAAATTAGGTTAAAACTCTAACTCTATGAAAAATATCGTGAACTTGTAAAATTATGTTCTGTGTTAAAATATTTAACACTAAATATATTAGAGAATATTAGTAAAAAATTCTTAATATCAAATACTACCCCTTTTTTTAACCATCAAAATATTCAGGATTATGGGGAAATTGCTGGATGACAATACGACCACGAAGAGAAACTTAATCAAGGAATATTGCAATATCTTTATAAAGATTTATATTACATATATAAAGACTGATTATAGATAACCATTTCAAAGATAAACAATTTCAATATATCATCTAGTAATATTAACAATATGTAAAACCCGTACTGTTGATTATCAGTATTGGTGTAATTATAAATCAAAGATTTCTCGCATAAAAATTTTAAAGGTTTCTAATTGTTTGTAATAAAATCAGGATTAAAATAATGGCTATTTATTTTGTCTTGCTTTTCTCCTCTCCTCTTCTTTTTTCTCTTCTTTTCATCTATTCATTCAGTCAGTCCTCTCCATTAGGTTTTCTTTCCATTTTCTTTTCGCCATTCTCTTTCCTGTACAGTAACTAGACAATATCTTCCCTTTAATTTTCCAACCATTACTTTTCAATCGCTATCCCTTCCTTCAAAACAATATTGCTTTGCAACAGAATCCCCGTTTTCTCATTCCTCCCACTCTCTCATTTCCTTTTCCTATCCCACCCCCACCCCCATGTAAAAGGACTGAAGGCAGAGTCTATGTCCCCGGATGTCTTGGTATCATGTTGCTAACACCTGTCTTACAAATATATTATTTCCCATTACACAGTACTTTTACTACATCACAATCACTGACACAAGCCAAATGTTCATTTGCTTAGTGGTTGATTAACGACTTTGTGGAATTTTTTGGTTAAATAATCAACGTTATGTTTTACCTTAGATTTTACCCGTTAATCGAACATAGCTAAGAATAGTTTTAGCCAATCATATTCACTGTTTTCATACGGGTACCGGGAAGCCAATTGTGTGTCACCCGTCTGTTATTTTTTAAGCGCCTTTGGTGGCAGAGAAAACTGAAAAAAATCCGTTCATAATCTTCTTCAAAAAGGTAAGTTCTAAGTAAAGTATCTTGATATTCGGGCTAAAATGTAATTCTCTTAACATTTTACTTCATATTTCTGAACTCTCTGGAACCTAAACTTCAAAAACTGATGAAAAAAGGGCTTTTTATTTCGTTTGTTCTGCTTTCGAGTTCAAATACAAAGTCAGATATTCAATTATTCGAGTGATCTTCAGGAGAAAAGTTTTAATAGAAAAACGGCCTGACGAAAAGCAATTCAAATTTGAAACGTTTTGATATCATTTTCTGATGAAAAGATCAATAGATTAAATATATGAGATATTTTCTAGATAATCGCTCGAACTTGATTGTTGAGCCTAATAATATATAATAATTTTCACACATTGTGGTTTCCGTATTGATTCTATTAATCCAAGTTTTTGTCGTTTGTTACTTATATATGTTGAGATTTTATAAAAAAAGTTTTCGGTTATGTTATGTGTTTTGTGTGTTGTATTTCGATTGTTACGTAGTGTAGTGTTTGTCAGTATTGTTGTCTAAAGAAAATGTTTAGAGGCCAATAAAGATTAACTCATACTAACCCAAACACTAAATATCAATACCCCGAACTACCTCTGGGCTGACCTAAGTCGACAGAGCACGGCTAAATTTGTATGTTAGCGTTAATAGTAAAGTCCATTTTTCCCACACCAGATTGAACTTCAGTTCAGCATGCACGTGTTGGTGGGACTTTTCTGCCTTTGTGGGATGTTGGTTGCTGCAAATGGTAAGAATACGTGAATAGATACTTGTACTAGGACGCAATGGTGATGGTGGCAGAAAGGAAAGAAAGGTAGTTGGTGTCCATTTATGGCTTGATTACTCGTTGGCCCAATGAGAGTCGTTGCGCCTCGTTCTTCAGCTACAATGCCATTGCCTCAAATTTTCATACACAGTTGAAGAATTTGAAATATTTCCAAGAGAGTCAAACGACAAAAACATGGCGGCCATCTTGGTGGTATTACAAATGGATGCTAATGAGAAATCTTTTGTTTGATACCATCAACATGGCTGCRATGACGTAGCGTGTAAGAGTTAGTAGAGTACATTTATGATACTGATGCTAATATATAATTATTGTGTTTGTTATACGTCAAGCATCCATCAGCCGTCCTGTTCTTGGTGCTGCTCCAGCCAACGAGGAAGTACCTGAAGGAGGAAGACACCCAAACGACGATAAACGATACACTATTGGTACGTCAGTTAATTATCAGTGATAAAGAATTTGGCTAAACGCCAATACATAAAAAACATGAAAAAAGAAAGAATTCATAGATTGGTAGAATTTAGAAATATTTGAGTTGGTCCCAATAATGAGCATTTAGGAACTCCTTAAATGGTTGGTTAAATTGGTAACAAAATGTTGGAGGGAAAATTGTGAAGTCAAAGACTATTACATAAAAAAGGAAATTCATAAAATGAAAGATTTTAGAAATATTTTTGGTGATATCAATGACAATCGTTGAGGCATTACTCAAATGATTTTTAAAAAGGGTTACAATGCTAACCATCCACAAAAGAATAAAAATAGAAATAAATAAATAAATAAATAAAAAGTTATTACTCAATATGAACTTGCTACACAACAAATCAACTCTTTTTTAGAAAGGTATATATAATTATTAAATAGTCGAAGTGGTCCCAGGGAGGAACTCTGTGGAACTCCTTTACTATCGGTTTTAAGAGCCTTACTAAAATAATTAAAATCAATCACGAAAGCGAGAAGAATAAGTAAAAGAAATGAAACAATAGGATGGAATAAAGAAAAGACTACAAGTCTAGATATAAAATGAAATTCGAATTATAATTGTCAGTTTCACTCTATTGTTTGTAACATATATCCACAGAACAACTAAATCTTGCAGCAAGACATCGTAACGTTTACTACGACAGAGCTGGAAGTGATCCATATGGTATAAAACAATAATGATTAAAGATAAGTCGATAATCATGAATATTTTCACGAAGACATGACTGATATTTGGAATAAATTTTTTTTTTGAAGGTATAAGCAGTCCTATGATCTCACACATGGGAAAGCGATCTGTGACCTACAGATACCCAGGTACGATATATATGTACTCACTATAGCTACTTCTTTTTCTCAAAGCAAACTTATACTAAACAAACTTATACTATACTTATACAGCTAAACACAGTTGTTTCTATTTTTAGCCGGTTCTGATTTCCATTCTGCTTCAAACCCAATGTTTGCTCGTAAACAGATGAATATCGAAGAAAAACGCGCACACATTGGTAAGAAGAATTGTTTTAATAAACGGTTAAAATCTTCTCAAAGTTAATCGGATAAATTTGTGCTGCTTTTTTTCAGCGAGACAAAACTACGCAGCTCGTCATCGAAACGTCTATCTTGACAACTATGGCAGCGACCCTTATGGTGAGATATTATTTCTATTTATTAAAATAAAAAATAATAATAGTAGGTATTGAAACTACCACTGTTTGATAGAGAAAATATGTATAAATAAATGTTTAGGGTGGTTGGGAGTTATTTATGTTATGTGACGTCATCGACGCCATGTTACAAAGCGTCATCAATGCTGTCTGGTGGGTGCTGTGTGACTCTGTCCTTTCCCATGTCAAGAAAAGGAAAAGATCAGGCCGCCATGTGTTGGTTGTCATAGGAAAAGAAACAAATCTTTTCAGTATTAAAGAACCAACATGGCAGCTGTGACGTCACATACAACAAAAAAAAAACTATTATGTTGGTTAACATAACGAAAGATACCCTGTCCAAATCATTTGTTCAAGTCAACCAACATGCGGCCATGACGTCACATCCACTCTAATGATTAATCTTTATAAATAATTATTAATGTTGTTTTTAGGAGGAGGAAGCCCAATCGTTAGCAGACAAACTATTCGAGTACCACACCGTCATGGACGCTCAGCAGAAGAGAAGTAAGTACTGATTGAGCTATTTTTAAAATAATTAACGAGTGACCGCTTCTGAGGTTAATCAGAGCCTGCTTCCTCGTGGTCATCGTTTTAGAACGTTGATTATACGGCCCAGAATTCATTAAATGCTTGAATTAAAAATATAAAAATAAATAGAAATAAACAGAACATAAAATTATGCCGATAACATTTAGTTATAAAATTTTAACTTTAAAAAATTACTCATGTCGTGCTGAACTGTGTTTTTGTAATCTTTTTCAGGCCTCAGACTCTCATGCAAAGATTAAGAATGTAAAATAAAATAAAATAAAATAAATTGAAAAAATAAAATAAGATTTATAAACCTCAGGTTCCGTGGAGGTTGATGGATTTAAAATAAAAAATGACACTTAAAAAATAGGTTTTCTTGTCTTGAATTTTAAAATAGTTCTAATAACCCAGCCCGTTCCTCTTGAATAGCAGACCAAATCAATTGATGGTTTTCACGTTGGCCATGTTGGAGGAACTTAACAAAACAATTGTCAATGAATTCTTTTGTTATGTCCTCCAACATGGCCGCCGTGTCTTTTGTCATTTAATTCTCTTGGGAATGGCTGAAAACCATCAATTAGTTCGTAACGTTTTTCAATCTAAGACTTCATGGTATTCTCTTGAGAATGAAATTCTAAATGCGAGTTTATCTGTATTGGTTCCAACACTTTCTATACACTGGTTTACTGGTCAAACACAAAGCATTAATTCGAGGTTGCAGCGTTCAAATTTGAATAATCCCAATTCTTGGTTTGCAATCAATCCCAAGGGAGCACAATAACAAAAGGGATGTCCGCCATGTTGGAAGATATAACAAAAGAATTCATTGAAAAATCTTTTGTCAAATTCTTCCAACATGGCGTCTATGACGTCTATTGCAAACGAAGAATAAACTACCTGAAAAGCTACGCTTGAGTGCTTTTTGTTTGAATGGGAAATTGTGATGTATGGCAATTTGTGAGTATCTACTGAAAGAGTATCTCGTAAACTAAGAAATAGTACACATGGTAATAACTAGTAATAAATAGCACATGGTCTGAAATGGGAAAGTAGGGAATGGTTCTGTCTTGCAACTGGATTCACCAGTTGAGTTACAACGATACACAGCCTTTCCAAACAACATCTTTATTGAAAAACTTCGCACATTTATAATTCTTAATTTTTGTCAACAATAAACGAGAAAAATAAATATTTGCATGTAACTATAGATCAAAAGTACGCCTTAGAACTAGTAAACTTACAGTTCACTCCATAAAATATCTAGCAATATAATTTCTTAAATAATCTCAGCCAAATTGATCCATCTTTGGTTCCCCGTAGAAAAGAAAGTAATGACATCTTCAAAATCATATGAGCTAAGTATGCATGAGGTTTCGAGAGTTCAGATATCTCTAAACGAGGTAAATTAATATGGCCAAAAAAAGGAGCACAGATTTGCAACTATTGTAATGCGTGGTCACTGCATCCGGCCGTTGTTTTGCCGCCAATCTTCTGAGCATGCATAGTACATTCTCCAATAATCGACTACTTTAGCCGCTCCCTTTCACCACTTTCAATAATTTCATTAATAAACTATGTACACTGTCTTGGATCATTTCGTAGATCCTTCTCAAATAGTCCCCTTCACCTTTCCCTGCGCCATCTTGAAAGGTAGCAGTGCCTTTGCATCGAAGCGAGGCGAACGGTGAACTTGCAATAATAGAGAAATGTGAATAATTGTCCTCTCTATCATTCCAAGCTTACCGTTTSTCTCGCTCATCCTTCGTCTCGCTCACCGTTCGTCTCGTTCACCGTTCGTTTCGCTTCGATGCGAAGGCACGGCTATCTTTCAAGATGGCGCAGGAAACTGTGAAAGGGACTATTGGGATTTTTCCAAGTCATGTCTTGTTGTTAGTGAGTCCGTTTACTTTTTACGTTGAAGAGTAACTTCCTGATGTCCCAGAACATTGTAGTTACTAAATGCTGCGAAGAAAAAAGGAAACGTTTGGTTGAATAATTGAGATCAATTAATACTATTGGCCATTCAGAGGTGGAAGAGTTGTGCTGGAATAGAGGCTTTGCACCATCACGTGATGGCAGCCATGACAGAAGGCACGACTATACAATGTTTTCCCCTGGGAACTGAATTTCTTTTTTACTTAATTATTTAATTAAATCAGATTAAACCTTGTTCATTTGTTCCTGCCTCCTATCATGGCTGCTATCACGTGATGGTACAAAGCCTCTATAGTCCTTTTTCTTATTTGGTAAATACCGCTTTGTTTTATGACTAAAGACTCATCTGCACAGGCTTAGCCTCTCAAATCATTTACAAAAGTGAGCTATAATGGTATCTGTAAATAGCTGACTCATAAACGAGGCCACGCCTGTGCGAATGAGTCTGTGGTCTTCACAAATAACGGTATGCATGAAATGATAAACAACAATGAAACAACCGCCTTGTTGGTTGATCAAACAAGAGAAGGAATGCTTTGTTATCGTCAACCAAGATGGCGGCTATGACGTAACATGGGCATGCTCTATTGGCTGTTCTCTTAAGACGTCTACTAACCCATTGCATCACCAGCTACGACATCAAACACAACATTACGTCTTGTTGCATACTTGTTCTGTGAAGCTGCGGTGAAAACAGAAATATTAWTTTAGATAATCACGACTTCAGACGTCTACTACCGGTCGAATCCTCGGACGGAAAGCTGGTTTTGTTACCTAAGTATTTATCATCAAAACCCCATTTCTTGGTCCCATCGTCGTTCGTCTCCGGCTCTGACGTCACTTCCGCCGGCTTCGTCGTGGTAATCAAAGTAGGGCTTGGAGGTGTAGGAACTGGAGGGTTGGGATAAGAGTCGTGGACTATTTTCTTGGGTTCTGTGTTTGTGGTATCATATACGTTTGTTTTGTTAGTGTCTCCGTTCAATGGGATGAATGCAACGACTTCTATGGAACAGTTCTTATCTGCCAAAAGAGCAATGATAATAATGTTTAATATTTATAACGCGCAAATTTACATATGAATATGATCAAATGCGCTTAGAAAATAGTAGACCCTTTAAATATAAACCATAATAAAATAATGGTTCTGCAGTGGCATCTCTAGAGAGTAGCTCTTTATCTTCTGAAATAAATCTAATTGGAATTTCGAAGTTGATTTTTTTGCGGATGGAGAACCCGGAGAAAAACCCTCGAAGCACGGGAGAGAACCAACGAGCAACTCTACTCATAAACGACACCGATTCGAGTTCAGAAATCAAGCCCAGTTGGCATTGGTCAGAAGCGAGTTGTCTCTACGGCAACCGCGAGTCACCTGGTCATCTTTTAGAAGTGGTTGACGTTTGTCATGGCCCGAAATAAAGATTTTTTTAATCATATACCTTTTACGTTGTCAGCTATTTTGCCATTGACATGAGTGATGGTTCTGTTGGTGCTGTTGGTGCTGTCGGCACTGTTAGCGCTGTTGGTGCTGTTGGTGGTGGTGATGCTGTTGGTGCTGTTGGCGCTGTCGGCGCTGTTGGTGATTTTGGCGCTGTTGGTGCTTTTGGTGCTGTTGGTGATGTTGGTGCTGTGGGCTTGCTTTATCTTTGGCTTCTGAAGCATTATAGGTAAAGCTGCAACATTTAAGTTTAATTACTATTATTTTTCTAAACTGTTATTAGAAAGTGTATACCTAAATGAACTGCAGTTATAGTTTACTACATTTAGCATTTATTACTAACCTATAGGAGGTACGTCTCTACGTATTACTCCACCATTTCCTAAACAAATGCAATYGTTACTTTAGACTATATTGGATCACAGTATAATCTTGTTATCATAAAATATTAAGAATATTCTACACAAAATGGAGGCTAGCACTGAGAAATAGAAGAATAGTGCCTTTGCATCGAAGCGAGAGGAACGGTGAGCTTGCAATGATAAAGACCTTTTCTAACACCTTGGACAAATATTCATATGTCTCTATCATTGCAAGCTCACCACCGTTCGTCTCGCTTCGAAGCAAAGAGATGGTTACCTTTCAAGATGGCGCAGGTAACTGTGAAAGGGACTAATCGAAGCGAGACTTTTCAAATGACAATTTTCACGTAATTGGATATTATTTGCGGGTTCCCTGTGGTTGCATTATTCAAAATGGCTGCCAGTTTTCGGCTGTATCAAGTGCAAAGATTATACACTTAAGAAAAAGCTTACCAGTATCCAACGAACTAAGGTATAAAACAAGAAAGGTCGTCGTTATGGAAACCAAATCTATATTCATTGCCATGGAGACTGAATCCGAATGCTGAAATAGAGATACATGGGATTCATTAATACAACGAAAAAGCGCTGTTAAAAAGATCCATCAAAAATACGACACACATTTGCAGGATTTTCCAAGGGTTGTTTTTTCGGCGATTTTTTTAAGTCGGTTTTTTCGCAGCACATTCTTTGTTTCATTTGCCTCCATTTGGACTGTGATACCGCTTTAACAGGAGCTACTTAGTATCTGCAAAATTAGGCTTTATTTAAAACAAAAATCGAACTATCATCTTCGCTGTTGGGCTCTTTGATCATTGCTCATCTTACTACAGTAGCTTTACCAGGTGAAATCAATTACGGCAAAAGCAGTCACCGGTATTTCATTTTTCCTTGTACCTCTACGGCAGGTTTTTGATTGTGATTTAAGGATTTTATCCTGACACTGGTAAGTAAATACGCCAGAAAGACAAGGAAAACTGGTCGTAAGAAAGTTTAAATTCACAAACTATAATGTTATATTTAAGATCTGGAAATGCCGTTGAAGTTTTCGTTCGACCTCAGAGGAATCAGACAATTTCCACGCCGGACAAATAATTATGACTTATTTCGATCCAAAATTTTAGATGCGTACAATTTATATTTGTTAAATAACGTTCGTAAAGTTCGTTAGGCGTTTGTCACTTAGTCAAGTGATATATTTATAATTTTTAGAAGGTATATGTTTTTTTTTTTTTCGATGACATTAATAATAATTTCGATGACATGGATATGATTAAGTCAGTACTTTTAAGGATTGTTCAGCGAAAGAGGTCTAAAATTTGTATCGTTTCGCCGCGACATTTAGTACTTTAACGGCGCTATATATAGGGAAAATAACTATGTTATAGGGGGCAAGAAGGAGTTTTTTTTTTTACTTAAATGTACCTAACGAGAAGAAGAAAAAACCCAAAAGAAAGAAAAAAAAAAAAAAAAAAAAAAAAAAAAAAAAAAAAAAAAAAAAAAAAAAGAAAAGAAACTGAACGGCATCAATCAACAAAAAGCACTAATTCTTATCAGAATAAATACTTGAATTTTAAAAGCAAAAAAAAATTTTCCAAACACACTGCTTCACTACATGAATCTGGCTAGTAAACTTAAAAAACTTATAGAGTTTGCTTCGTCTTTGAACGCAGTCGCGACATTGAAAGCCGCTCTTTCCTCGAGTCGACCACCACAAGTTAAGTCATTACTTTTATCTTTAACAAAACCTTACAACATTTATTGATTTATCTTAACTTACCTTAGAGGGCTTTTGTGTTTAGAGAATCGAGATTTCTTTTCAAATCTTGAATATTTTAATTCGAAAAATTTTCAGAGCCAAGAGGATTTATTATTGAGTTCCAACCTTCCAGTTGAGTACCAGTTTCTTCCTCATTAATCTTGCAAGGTGTTTCTTATATTTGTCAATATACATGTTTTGAATCTAACACGGAAGACTACATTAACCTGCTGTTGATCTTTTGTTCTTAGTGCCCAAGCTTACTCGACCATATCATATTAGAGCCTAGTCTTCCTCCTACAGCGCCATTTTGTCGTAGACACAGGGCTGATAAGTTTATAAGTTCATGCTCCAAATTGCCTACGATTACAAGCTACGGATCTTTTGCTCTAGCGCCTAGGCTCACTCAGCCATTTTGTTAATTTAGTGCCCAGTTTTACTCGTTTAAATTAATACCCAGGCTTCTCCTACAGCACGATAGACCTTGCAACTGATCACGTTTATCTTAAGCCTTTGAAGTTTCTCCCGCCATATTGGTGTACCAACTTGGCACACCAAGATGGCCGCTCCATACATTTCTACCAAAAACTCGCTACATTTCCTCGACGAAATGCTATACCAGCTTAAAATTTTACCAGTATAAGAAGTTTTTGACCGCTTTACAAGTTTATGAAATTTTTGTTTCATTATTTTTTGAAATTCATAACGACGTAGGTGAAAACCAAGAATTAGCAAATGTTCTGGCGGTCTAGGTAACACTGAGTTCTCTCTGTTATCTTCTAGCTTAATCTTGGATTCAAATTAGTTTCTCGAAACACTTGATCAACTTTCGCATAACTTTAAAAATCTTTTGCATTACTATACATTGGTTATTTCATAGAAAATTGGGGGAAATTTCCATCTAATATTTTTCAAAATAATTTTATTTTCTTCTCTGTAAAAAAAGAAGCAACACTTAAGAGAAAACCGCGTGGCCTGTTTGATGAAACGGGGAAACAAATTGCACCAGATAAGATGTTATTTTGCATACAAATTCGAATTAATTGTTCTGTACGTCTGCAATTTCATTCTCTGCAGCGTCAAAATAATTGCCCAGGAATAGTTTTGTAATTCATTTATTTTTATTAAACTGCGAAGTTATCCTTTGAGAACAAAAGCATAGAATATTTACCAGAACTCACATTTGATGAATGTCCTAGAAGGGTATCTGTGACGAACAAGATCATAGGATCCCTGTGTACACCTATTTCAAAAAACGTTGTCGGAGATCTGAAATGTGAGAGCGAGTAAACTGCTGCAAAATGTAATGTATTCACAACCGAATAATGTAGTTTTCTTTTAGATTGGAATATGATGAATAATTTTGATTTTATCAAACCCCGGGCCCGACAGAACGAGTACGAATCCTATAAATAGTAGCTACACACTGTTTTTTTTTTTGGTTCGCCAAACCGCAGTCCTACTATACGATTCCTTGGTTTGGTTCGCCAGTCCGAACTCTCTAGTGAAGATCCTGGATCTTGCCTTAATTCCTCTACTTGAAACCATGGACTACTTCTTAAGGCGGCCATCTTGCCAAGGGGCAAAACAAAACAAAAATGATGTAAAATATATAGAGTTTCGTGTGTTTGTCTTTCTTTTATGGGTGAAGGAGATCTATGTGAGGCCTTAATTCTTTTTTTCTTTTGTATTCTCTTGTGATGAGCTGTTAATATCAATCGACGTCATTACTATAAGAAAGCTTTATTTGCCCCTGAACGACTCATAATGCATTTTTACGATCCAAGATGGCCGACGCATAGTCAAAGTAGTCCATAGCAATCAAGTTCTAAGCTGCATATAAGGAACTGATTAGTGAAACGTTTCGTAGACGTTGCTTAAGAATATTTTAATATGGTAACGCTGGAGCGCAAAGCAAAAGTAGACGATGTTTACACGATAACTGATTCAAAGAGACGCTTACCTTTAACTGGGATCGATCGAGCAACACAATAATTTGTAATTATTTTTGAAATGTATTTGAAAAGTTATTGATTTCAATGGTTTAGGGAACACATATTAAGTGGTAAACAAATACAGATTATGATTTTTATTTTATTTTTTTGAAAGACAGGGGAATACCTGCATAAGCATGTCGTCAAAGCAGTGAAATGTTTAGAGAAGAAAATGAAAAACGCTATGATGAATGCTAAGTAAAAGTGTTGGGAAAACTGAGGAAGAAAAAAAGAAAGACGGGGAGACGAAGTAGCAGGAAAAGAAGAAGAAGAACTGAGGAGAAGGAGAAGAAGGAGGACAAAGAAAAAGGCGAAGAAATAGAAGAAGAGGAAGGAGAAGAAGAAGAAGAAGAAGAAGAAGAAGAAGAAGAAGAAGAAGNAGAAGAAGAAGAAGAAGAAGAAGAAGAAGCTGACGAAAAAGAAGAAGATGAAAATGATTGACGAAGAAGACATGCAAGCAAGCAAAGACATACCATGATACACCACGTGCAAGAGTCAACAAAGAACCCTCAAGAACTAGAAACGGAAAACGAAGGAGACTTCGATTATTATGAGATGCAAGAACTGCTGGAAGATCAAAGGTAAATAATTAATGTTCATACTTATTATAATAACTCTGTCAAATACCTTATTTTATTTACGACATTGCTGTTACAGACACTACTAATATCAATGCTATATTTAACTTAATAATTTCGGAAAAATTCAACTAACAAACTACTCTAATATCCAAAGAAAAGTGAATCATTTTGAATATCAGTGATTTGCACAGGGCAAAAAGAACCTATTCCTGGACTTTCAAGTGAGTATATTTAAAGCCAACAAATTCCATTGTCGATGCTCCGCGGCAACTCATGATATTCAATCCTGGAGTGAATTATATTTTATATCATATTTTATATCGAATTATATCATATAAAATCAAAGTTGTGTGTGCCACATATGAAAGTTTTATTGCCATCATTGCTCGGTATGGTTTGGAGTCTACAAGCATTACGCCACAACTTTACAGACGAAATGAGTAAATTTACAGAATGGTTAGATAGATAAATAGTTTATTGTACAAGAGTTTTGCAGCTATAGCCTGAATTATACTAATATTTACATATAAAATTCAATAACAATAAAAGAAATAACAATATAACTAATTAAAAAATGCAACTTGTATACAAATATATACACCTGCTTGCAAGAACGTTGTTGTCATACGAAAATAGAACATTAGTGATTTAGTGGAATAGGAATTATATTAAAAAACAAAAGAACATCACTGAAGCTGAACTTTTTCTTTTGTCTCTTAATGTATTCCTTTCTCTCTAAAGTACTAATGTTCTAATATCGTATGACTTCTTTCTTGCAAGTAGGTGTATATATGTATCAGATGTATCGGGATATCATGATAACTAGTTCTACGACGCCACAACAACAAAATACCATGGATTTTCTCTTTCCAATCATTACCGTAATCACCATGTTCCTTTTTCATATCGTCGTTTTATTTTTTGCCCGGTAAGCGATAAAAMATTTTTTGGATAGTAAGCAGTTAGTCGACAATAAAAATATTTATCGATATTGGAATAGGAATATTGAACAATAACTTTGGTAGCTTGAGCTAGACATTCTGCCAATCTGTTGCTACGGTTTTTCTCCTATACGGCGAAATATCTTGATAATACAGCAATATGTGAAAGTCATAGCCATTCTTCATTTTTCATAACAATTTTCACGCATGCTCAGTTGGTGTTTTCCCTCTCGCACCTTACTTGTGTTGAAGTATTTATAAAACGTGCATGGCGGGTGGGATCGGGGTTTTATAAGGGTTATCTAGAAGGTTCTTTAGGTTTTGTTTTGATATTTGAAGGATACGTCCATGAGGCAAAGTCATAAGTTCATTCCGCGATACAGAAATGCATACGCAAGGAACAAATAGAGGACCGCAGCACCGGCTTTAGATCTACCTCTTGCATTAAGTTCTCCGACAGAGCCGCTAAATTTACAGACCTCCAGTGTTGAACTCTATTTTTTTCTATTTTTTGATCGTTGTCATTAATTATATTGAAATTTATTATTAGACTTCTATGATAATGACACCTTGTAGTGATTCCAAGCGGTGAACTCGAAGTATCATATTCTCAGGAAAAAAAATTCATCGATATGTCCTCAGCTCCGATTAAATTGACGTTGCATTTTGAATATGGTGTTTACGAGTGTTTATGGTCTATGGCTCAGTCACAGGAGAGTAAGATTCTACTCTTATGAGTGATAAGACTCAGTAATTTCAATACTCCATTAGGTCTTCTCCAGACAGCCCTTCTTAGTACTTGCCGACAGTTCTTTAGCAGTCGTCTCAGTGGCATCGAACCGTATACTCGGCAATCGATTAGTCTTTGAGTCCTACTACCATTATTGTGAAATCTTTTAGAGGATTAGGGGATTATAATCTTTGATTTAGTCTAAAATCTCCCTCAGATATTTTTTAAAATTTCATTTCGTTTCGTTGATTAGAAATGCTATTCGGCGAACGACACATCACTAACTTCGCCGCAGGTCGCACTTCAGCGATAATGGTAGTAAGCTTGAATAGTAAGCTTGTTTATGCGTCTCACTACATGCATCGGCAACTTCTAAGAAAAGGAGGCGGTATAAGAAAGGGCATTTCAAAGACTTCACACTGATATTGCCATTTGTTGTGCAATGACACGAAAGTACACATAAAAGATGTTGAAAGAAAGAAATTGAAGTTATTTTTTTAATTAAAAAGCTCTGGTAAATAAAGCTTTCAACAAAATAGCAAATAATAAACCCTACTAAAACGTAATAGGCAATAGGGGATAGGTGAAAAGCGATAGGATATAGGTCATTCCAACATCCAAGAATAGCTGGAATCTTGTGTTTCTGCTTCTTATTCTCGTCAAGAACATAGACCTTAGTGTTGAGACTGATTCGATGTTCTTTGTATTCAACGAAACTATTTCCATGTCGGAATGACCTATCGCCTATCGCCTTTGGCAATGACAACGTTTTTTGAATTAGGTGTATGTATATATACACACACACACACACATTTATATATACATAGTATAGTAGTAATAAATTATGCGTTCGGTGTATATATAATGAAGTAGAGAGAATAAGA